TTCAATTAGACAGAAAGAAAACAGAGAGCAAGAAATCTGGAGTGGGTTTACCGTTAACTGAAGGAGGCATGCACAAGAAATAAAGAACCAATGAGCGCAAGAAATACATACAAAATCACGTCATACAGCATATTTCATATACAGTAATTCATTTTAAATGCCTCCGTGCCATCAATTTTAGAATATGTTATAACTATAAAATAGATAGCACATACTGATTTCTCCAATTCCCTAGGCTTATTTTAATGGATGTATATATAGAGGGCATCATAACATCAGTTATAATATTAGTAAAAAACAAACAAAAATATATACATTTCAACAATACACGCAGAAATAATCTATTTTTAAATCAATTTCTTACCTTTTTCTAAGATGTCTTCAGCACCATCCTCCCATGGATCTTCATCTTCATACTCATCATCAACATCTAATCAAGCAAGGAACAAAATGCATATTTTTCAAATATACAATAACAATGAAACAAAAATCTCACGCTGAAGATGTTATAAACAAGTCCAATAAGAGGTCATTTTAAGAAATTCACAAAATAGAAGCGTTTTTTTTTTTCTAACCGGCTTCATCCAAGATGAAGCCACCATGCCGAGCTTTCTTCCGAGGTCGGTCGTCATCCTCCTCTTCCTCTTCATCATATTCCTCCTCATCTTCCAAATCCTCTCCCTCTTCCTCAGCCTTGTCACTGCCGGCTACACTTCCCTGTTCTTCCTCTTCCTTCAAGAGATTAATAATTAATAAGTTGTGCACGTTTACAATTCTACATGTTTGTTTTTCTTTTCATTTTAATCTTTAATCTTTGATAATAAACTGTAATCAACACTAAAAAAAACGGACCACGATAGGTCCATTTCATGGCAACCTTGACAATCCATTTCATTCGAACCTTGAGCCTCTTGGCACTTATAGAAAAACATCAGCTTTAAAATGGACAGGAATCTGGCAAAGAAAGATCATTTAGCAACAAACTATCCACAGACTAATTTGAAGAACAAATAAGTGAATAGTCCAGGAACAGGTGACTATCCAAAACACTGACTACACATTAGAAAATAGATTTAAAAAATGCACAAACACATAACCAAAGATGCTTTTTTTTTCTTTTCAAAAATGACTCAATAAATCAATCGGTGAAATAGGTACATATACATAATAGGTACATATACATATATATATATATATATATATATATATATATATATATATATATATATATATATATATATATATTATTTATATATATATATAAAATAAAGCTTTACATATACAGGATTAGTATTTTTGAGACCTTCTCTGAGGCATTTGGGGAGATAGTAGAGCCATCCCCATTTCTCGCGTTGTTCAAGGTGGCCCCTGGGGACGCTCCTCTCAACACAAGACAAATTAAAATGTTAGCCTTTGGTTCTCTTCTGGCTAGAAGACTGATATTGCTTAAAGGGAAAGACCCTATTCCACCAACACAATCACTGGATAAGAAAAGTGGTGTCTCATCTTAAGTTGAAGACAATAAGACGTACTATTAAAGAGTCTGTTGAGACATTTCATAAGGTCTGGCCACCTTTTTTAACTCTTGTGATGGAAATGGACGCACACAACATGACAATATGAGAAAAAAGGAACTCCTGTCATATTTTCATGTAATGTTTTCATCTTTTATTTTCTCTATGGACATTTGATTTGATTATATATTGTTCCTAGACCTGGTGTTCTAGGAAAGGGTGTTTTTTTCTGTATAACGTGAAAAACAAATAAAAAAACATTGGAAAAAAAAACCCTAATATTTTTAGGTATCAGAGTGAAGCCCCTCCAAATATATTTAAACATTATTTTAAAATGGAATAAATTATGTTGAGACTAGCAGCTCTGTTTCTTTGCAACTGTAATGCATAATTAAATTGGATAATGCAATATTTAATTATAATCCAGATCAAAAATTTTAAGTCATTTATTTCACTTAAAGCAAAGCTGAACATTTAGCAGACATTATAAAGTTTTACATATTTTTAAAGTGAAATTTATTTAAAAAAAGTATTTTAAAAATGTCCAAATCATTAAATATTATTTATTATATTTTAACAGTTACAGTTCAGAGCTAATATCTGCATGAAACATCGGTAATGCATAATGGCCATGGCAAATGTAAGTTAAGACAGAATACTGTAGAGTCAGACGCTTCGGTTTCCTTTGTATATTAAATCACTTTCCTAAATATACTCCAGTCATCGAAATGAATATGTGAGTGAATATGGTTTCAACTGCAATATACAGGTATATTTATTATCTGATACATGGTCAGTATTGTAAACACAGAGTCTCTCACCTCATTCTCCTCCACCTCTTCAGCCTCGCTGCTCCTCTCACTCTGATTATCAGAGAAATCACTGTCCTCGCTGTCTGACATCTCTTTGTTTTTTCTTTTTCTGTTTTCCAGACGGAAACACTGCCGTGAGAATCACATCAAACACAAGCAAAACACTATTAATACAACACAACGCATAAAGCGACCATCACAATTATCCTGCCGTTAGACTAAAAGCAGATATTCAAAATGACACACAGCATAAGATACGACAAATGACGATAGTACTGGGACTTGATTAAAAAAAACACGTTAGCTTGGTATTAGCGTAAAAATGGCACGACTTAAAAGTTGAACACAACATGTTACCACCATCTAGTTTTATCTTGTGTATTTTATGGTGATATGCTCTGGCTAATCCTGGCCATTTGGAATTAGCACATGTGCTAGCTAACTTATGCCTGCCTTTACAAATGAATCTCGTCGTGTAATTATCACAGACATGTTTAATTTTTTCAAACAAATTGTATAACGATGACAATCATACATTTAAAAATAAAACGCGGACAAAGTCGAATTTTACCTTTTAACAGCTGTCTTGTTCGCTTCAACCTGGCAGCGAAGGCCAATGTTTTCTTTTCGTGAACTTCCGTAAAAAACACAGACGAGGCAGATGTACAGCGCCCTCAAGAGCCTTGGAGAAAAAAAAAACGTGTTTCTAGCGAAGAACAGTCGCATAAATAATACAAACAAACATTCAAACAAATAAGGGTTGTGGGTAGCCCGACAGTCACAAGGTCGCTGGTTGCCCAGGATGGCTCAGCTAGCATTTCTTTGTGGAGTTTGCATGTTCTCACCGTGTTCGCGTGGGTTTTCCCTTACAGCCATAATACATGTACATGTGAAATGGGTAAGCTAAATTGTTTGTGATGTGTGTGTTTGAATGAGAGTGTATGGGTGTTTCTCAGTGATGGGCTGCTGCTGGAAGAACATCCGCTGCGTAAAACATATGCTGGATAATTTGGTGGTTCATTCCGCTGTGGCGACCCCTGATTAATAAAGGGACTAAGCCAAAAATTAATGAATAAATAATCTTGCAGTTAGTGTATGTGTTTAATGTTCATAATCAGATTACAGTTACTGTAAAGTATTCAATCTAATAAACAAATAAAATGACAAAAGGCAGGAAATGTCATGTAAATTTCTTTACAACTCTGGCTTATTTTTTAAATCAGTTAAAGACCTATTTGAACGAGTGATATGAGTTAACTTGATACTTAAGATATTAAGGCCTAAAAATCACCAGTTTTTATGATACATTTTTATTTATTCAACTAAACTGTATGTGCACTATATAGGCTAACAAATCACAGAATCACTTTTTAAAGCAATTTGTTACCATTTTTGTTAATGTTCCTATACTATTAGGCATTGCTGTTTCTTCAAATTATTGTAACTAAAACACTGCAAATGTAGGTATTTTAATACTGTTGTTAATGTGAAATTGTTTTTATATACTCACCAGTGTTATTTTCTTTCTTGTGCTTAACACATGGAGAGTGTCAGTTTCAGGTCCAATATCCATCCTAGCCATTTTTTTTTCAAAACAAGGCAGATTCATCATAATTTTCAATTTCCACAAGTTTACTAAAGATTAAATACATAAATAAATAAAATTCTTATGCACAAAAATAACCTGCAACTCAACTTTTTTATGCTGTGAAATTTATTAGATGAATTTTGACAATTTACAGTAATTAGATGTTTACTGCTACAACATTGCTCTAAATTGATGTTGATGTTGCTGTCTAGTAGCAGTTATACTGACAGTTATTATGGCAAATGCTTCATCAGGCAGCAGATTCAGGTTATAAGAAATTCAAAGCACTGTATGTTGAAAGACCGCCAAAGTGTAATCTGTCAGCATGTCCCAGAAATTCTTAAATGCTGTCAAATTGCTTTTGTGTCATGAATTGTACATCGGTTTGTGTTTGTTGCACTAAATCAAGCAATCAGTCAACATGTGGTCCATCATATAACAGTTCATTTCATTTGAATGCTTTGATATTTTTCGGTTTTATGTAGTCTGCCACATTCTTTTTTATAGTTTAGATGTTAAAGGATTTTGTGTCTCTGCATGCAGATATTCAGCAGAATCTGGCTTGCATTATGCAATAATGTGTCCTCTGTCTATATGCCAAGTTCATAGCTGAACTGCTGTTAATCTCAAGAGCACACAAGGCAGTGAAGGCATCATGAAACAGTCAAAAGTAAACACGACAAGCCATTGTAAGACTGATAATCATCTAGATAAACAATAAATGCAAGGAAGAACATTGCAAAAATATCAAAGCAGGCTTGGCTTGTTTGTCAGCAATGGTTTTGAGTGGCCTTTTGTAAAGTTCATTACATTATACTTGCTTCTAAACCCTTAGAAACAGTGCAGTGAGAGAGTGTTGAGTAACAAATGGATCATTATGATGTAACATGTATCAAAAGGTCAAAGTTAGTTCAGTGAACTTGTCTCATCACATAGCCCATGTTTATTTAAATCCCTCTGACAATGAAATACTTTCAATTAATTTAGTTGTTGTTCTGTGCAAGTTCCCCCGTTTCATTTATAAATTCCTAATTTTAATATTACATGCTTAAAAGATGTACAAAAATAAATAAATAACAATGTTCTCATATTTAATGCAGTATAAGCTAATTTTACAGTTACAGAAATGGTGTTTTCAAAGTTCCTGTTTCTCTAATCCCCACTTTCTGAAAACCTCATTTGAATGGTGAGATGGGACAGTCTATTATAATTTATCAGCAATTTATAGGCTGCAGTCAAAAGCTTAATGAATCAGTTTTAAGGCTGTCTCAAAGCTGCTATGTAACGAAGGCCAGCTAATAAGTGCTGTGCAGATAAACCTCACTCCTCTGACCAGCAATACTCCCATGCGGAAGGTCGTCAGTTCGATACCAGCCCAGAGTGGGTTGGGTGGCGTAGGACCGGCATGTTTACACTTGCACAAAGACATTAAGATGGATGTTTCACAATCAGATTTACACTTTTACATCTTCAAGCAGCATTTGCAATAGATATCGTCTAAAAGCATTTTAATAGGGACACTCTAAAGTAACAGATGTTGTTTAACAGAAGAGTACATAATCAATGAAACAGAAGTCATGGATTTAGAGGTAGTTTGCTGTCAAAGCACACAATTGTGGCACATATTCTATAAAAGTTAAAATTTATTTATGAAAATATATCTTTGCATATACAGATGTGCGCAGTATGCTTGTAGCTTAGAATACGGCGTCTGTTCTGCCACCTCTGGAGAAGCACTTCAGTGTCTGCAGAACCGCTCCTTCAGATCACGTACTTAAAGTTTTCCTGATGCATCTTCTTTTCATTTCCTATGGAGCACAGATTCTTTCAGCATTCATCTGTTCTAAGATGTGTTGCAAGGTGTTTAAAAAAGTCTTTGTACTTTCTTCTTTGTAGAGCTCGCAGACTGGACATTTCATCTCCATTTCGTCCTGTAACTTAAAGTGATTGTGTAATTAGTTCAGTGCACAAACAGATGGAGGGTCTTGCAGATAATACATTTCCTACAACAATGAAGTTACGTTAGTGTGAATATGCCATGTGAATGACGAATGAGGACAACAGAAGTAATCAGAACAACAAAAGAGCACCAATAAGTATTTGCTATGACAAGTCCTTGTTAGATGAAACGGTTTGTCCTAAAGGGACTTTGTTAATACTCCAACAACTTATTTTTAAATCTCATAAAAATTTGAAATTTTTTAATATGATTTGTTTAGAGAATAATATGCAACACCCTAGAACAATGGTCTCAAACTCAATTCCTGGAGGGCCACAGCTCTGCACAGTCTAGTTCCAACACTCACCTGCTTAATAGTTTTTAGTAGTCGTAAACACCTTGATTAGTTGCATAGATATATACACTAGATGTCCCCTGGCCTATTGTTGTCTATTGGACGGAATGCGTCAATAGCGCCGCCATCTTGCTACAGGGCAGCGCTCCTTTGAAATGAATGCGGGACCAAGGTACAGTGGAGGACTGTGGCCATCCAGAGCCAGAGATATACACATATATCTATGATCGGGAGTTTTCCTGGATGTTAGTGTGTAATTTTTTTTTCTAATTACGAAAATTATAATTTTACATCACTTTTCTACATTGATGGTGACCGCACGGGCATTCCTGACACAAAGCTTGTGTTTGTGTGTACAGAAATGTACTATCCACCCTCCCTGTTAAATTTAATATAATCCGTGTCCTGAAACACAGCTCCTCTCCTGCTTTCACTTCTCATACTGACGGAGGGAGCGATGCGTTTGTGAAGGAATCCCCCGAATGACTCTTTCACTAACATTAGCCGACAATAATACAAGTTTCTGGCAGCGCAGCATTTCGTTGTCATATTTCTTTTGCATTGTTTGATGATTTTATACAACAAAACTAGCATAAGCACAGTGTTTAGTGCGAGTTGGAGCTGCTTTGCCGTATGGTGAATGCAGTAAGTGACTGTTATCCTCAATAACGTTACCTGATTAGCACAAAAGATCAGAACATACAAAAACAGAAAAAAAACTTAATATTACCTATGAAATGTTCTGCTTTTGTGCTTTGTTTTCTTTGTTTGCTCGTTACTACACCCGTAGACAGCGCTAAAGTCCTGCATCTTAACGTAATAACACTGTCTTGACTAGTACGGTTGAATGACATTTGTCCTGGGAGCACTGTACCAATGTGGCGGCACTATTGACGCATGCTGAGGGTCCCTATGCGATATCTAGTGTATATATCTATGGATTAGTTGGATCAGGTATCATTAATTAGGGTCAGAGTAAAGCCATGGTCACACTCGACTTTTCGCCCCATAGACTTCCATTCATATGCATGCGATTGTGGCAGACTGAAAACACAAGATCGTGCGACAAGTTTTGTAGTTCGCTGCATTGGAAAGTTCAAGCTCGGTGAACTCTGACCAATCTATGATGAAAACATGACCTCTCTGGACAATTTATTATATGGAGTAATCACTTGCTTTTTATTGTTTAATCATCTTGTTGAATCCTGCCCCTTTTTGCAGCAATGCACAGCGCTTAAAACTGTGCAGAACTGTGGCCCTCTGTGAATCAAGTTTAAGACCTATGCTCTAGAACAGCGTTGCTAAACCCTGTTCCTGGAGATCTACCTTCCTACAGGGTTCAGCTCCAACCTTGATCAAACACACAGGAACCAATGAATTAGGACCTGAACAGCACTTGATAATTACAGACAGGTGTGATTGATATGGGTTACAACTGAAATCAGCTGAAAGGTAGATCTCCAGGAGCAGGGTTGAGCACCCCTGCCCTAGTAACATCAAGAACATCCAAGCAATTGCTTAGTAACACCCGAGTAGCTATTTACTAGCTAACATAGCAATATCTAAGCAACAACATCGTAACCCTCTATCAACATCTTGCAACCACCCAAAACTCCTGAGCAACTGCTTAGTGATCACATGGCAAGAAACATTCCTTCGACCATTACAAAAACATCACTTCAAAACTAATTCCAATTTGAAGCTTTTAAAACTGTATTAAAACTGCTGTAGGGTTTGCTTTAGGTCATTTTTATTCAACAAATGGCAATAAACTTTGTAAAATATTATTCAAATATAACCAAAGAAAATGACAAGCAGCACACTGAGTTAAATATCAAATTGTTAAGTAGACCGAAGTGTTATTTTCTTGCATTAAAATTACTAAATAGAGTTTGACAAAGTGATTTACTACCTTTTATAAAAGTGATTTACTACCATTTATAAACTAAAGTTTGTTAACCTGCGTGCAATTCAAATGTCCAGCATCATTTCCTTTAATAAAGCAGTATTATGGTAATTTACCTCTATAATTCATGCGCTGTATTTGTGTTGTTCATCTCAAGAACAAATTCAAAACTCAACCATTACTAAAGAAAACAAAAGTGAAGTTTCATGCAGCTGTCTAGCATTCCAGCAGTAATCTGAAACCCAAATTATTGCATGCACTTTCACGAACTTGTCAATGGAAAAATGTTTGCTATTTCAGCTGTATGACAGGTGAGTATAGCACCATGTGCTTTTACAATGTTTGGATAGATGCTAGTTTTTATTTATATGCTTTTTGGTATCAATTATAGAGTGTGTACACATAGTGCTTAAACATGGAGCTAATCTAACTAAAAAAAATGTATGATATATATACACAGGGGTTGGACAATGAAACTGACCAATTTAGTGTTAAATGTTTCATGGCTAAATTTGAAAAGCCTGGTGTTCAATCTTCATTCTCTGAACTTTTTATCAGTAAGAGCAGCATGTGAAGGTTTACTTAACAGAGTAACAGCTTTGTTTAAAATATCTCAATGCCCACAGCATTATGGTTATATCAGAGCTCAAATTAGGACATATTGTTGGTGCGCATATTGCTGGCGCATCTGACCAAGACAGCAAGTCTTTGTGTTATATCAAGAGCCATGGTGCTGTTCAGGAAACATTTTCCTCCACCAGTGTCACATAGTGACCTGGCCACTATTCTGCAAAAAGAATGGCTCAAAATTCCTTTGGCCACTATGCAGGCCTTATATCTTGTCATTCCCAAGAAAAAGTGATGCTGTATTGTCTGCAAAGAGAGGTCCTACACCATACTAATAAATAATGGGGTCTAAATCCAGGCATTTCAGTTTTATTGCCCAATATAAACATACAACTATTAAAATGTCATTAAAATCTACATATTACATTAAAGGTTATGTATTTATTATAAATAAAGCAACAATCATATGAGACGTACATGTTAATATAATCTATCCTCTTGTCTGATAATATATTTTCAGATTATTAAATCATCATAAAAGACTTGAACTCACTCTTTTTGTCACCCTGTTTAGAATCCTTTGTAGTTGCCGAAAGGCCAAACTCTCGACTTGGATTTCCACAGACAAAACACTCACTTCAAATGCAAAGCATGTAATTGTGGACTTGGAGCAGTTCTGCTAATGGAGATGACACAATAGTTAATACAGTGTTGGAGCCACAAGCTATTCATTTTATTTAGCCTGTATTTGTTTGTTTTATCTCACAGTGCTGTTAACTGTTGAAATTTAATGAAGTACCAAAGACCACAGTTTCAGTAAAAAAAAAACACAACACATCATAAAAGTTATCCTTTTCATGTTAAAAAGACTTTTAAAAAGAGTTTTTGTTGTAAACATCTGCAACAGTGATGTGCAAATTTTCTGTTCTATTCTTTACCTTTTTAAGTGATAAGAATAGCATATGTATGGTCGCTGAGAGAGCTTAATGTGCTACAATTACAAAAAAATGCCAGCAAACTGAGAAAAGATCTTTATCAGTTTAACAGCACACATGCTGCAAATCCTCAAATTGCAAACAGAAAAAATGCGCTGCATTTTCACACACCACAAATGATTAATGAAACAAAACGCAAACGTGGCGGACCCAGCTATTTAAGTTATGGTTATTTAGGCGAATAAATACTAAAGACACAGGATTCTGGATATTAAAATAAACAAAAATAAAAATATCACAATTCAAAGATCACCTACAACTTCACTGAACAATAATACCGGCACAGTGGCATAAGTATCATTTTTTGTTCCCCTTGAAACATTTCCCCTGTGTTCTATTCTTTTTGTGTTGTGAGAAAATGCAGCATGTTTTATTAATGCTTGCACACTTAGCATCAGCAAATCAGTACAAAAATGTATTCCAATTAATATTAAAATAACCCTTTTCGAATTGTTCAAAATGAATACTCTCTTGTTATGTTGGGGGCTGTTTTCGCCCCAATAACTTCCATTATAATGACATGTTTTGATTGTAAAGCCTTGACGCCAGACAATTATGCACTCTTGATTGTGGATGATTTTCCTGTTGGAAGCGGTAAAATTTCTAATTTTTACTGACCATCAGTTGGTAGAATTAACCCTATAGGTAGGCAAAAAGTTTCTGGCTTTTCTATGGGATTCTATGGAGAAAAACAGCAAATGATAGTGTTCGTGCATAAATACACTTACTATATTTTGAGAGCTGCACTGTAACTTATGATCAACAGTAAAAATTGCAAATTGTACCTCTCCCCAACAGGGAAAACCACCAACAATAAAAAAAAACATGATTATATGTTATCAATCTGTCCAGAGTGTATTGAGTTTTTGAAAAAATTCCAAACCATTTTTCTAAATTATGTGTGGAGATAAGATTTGTCACCAAAAATCATTTCATTTGCTGAAACACAGAGAACATTGTGGCCAAATTAAGCCTAAAAATCCCCCCCAGAGTGGAAGAAAACTTCCTCAACAGCACACAAGGGTTAAGATCAACAAAATCTTAAGTAAAGAGAACAAATGTCCCAACTGTTGTTTACAAACGTTTACAAGACAATAACTCAAGTGTTGCATCTCTTCATGCAATAATGTTCAATGAACACTTATACAACCTACATTAATATTTGTTATTATTATAGCAGCTGGTAGCCCTTTACTTGAAGGAGGTGTTCATAAGCCTGTCAAGACTCCTTTATAATTCTGATGTGAATATAAACAAGATTTTATGCATGCTTACAACAACTGTCATCAACTCAGATCATGTTTTGAGTGGAACAAACTGAATTTGTCATTACAATTTCTCAGTAAAAGCTGAAATACTCTGTCAAATAATTTTATAACAGTGTCAATATTTGATGACATTTTAATGTCTAATTAAATTTGTAGAACAGCAGTTGAGGTCAAGAAAAATATTAATGACGTTGTTTATAAAATTCATGACACAATTATTATGGCCTGATGACAATTATGTTTATGACAGGTTTATAACAGGTTATGTCGTCTTAATGTCCAGTTGTCATGACAAATAAATTATGAGGTATTTGTTAATTTAAAGTTATCATAACTAAAACACCTCAAGCAATGTCATCTTTGCATTTATAATGACATCACTAAGTGAAAGACACTAAGGCCTCTATTTTAACGATGTAAGCCCAAAGTCTAAAGTGCAAGGCGCAAAAGCATTAAGGGCGTGTTCGAATCCACTTTTGTTATTTTAAGGATGGAAAAATATGCTTTGTGCCCTGGCGCATGGTCTAACAGGGTTGAGCTTATTCTCTTAATGAGTTATTGGTGTGTTTTGAGTATAACATGGATTGAAAAATTGAATGTTTACTGGCAAGAAAACCATCTGTGTGAGAATAAAGAATGAGCCTCCTCCATTCTGCCGCTTTACTTTCTCTTTCTATTTACTTTTACTCTTTACTCGAACGAAAACTCATTCCACTCAAGACATCTATAAGCCTACATATTTAATGTATATAACTATAATATTATATCGAATTGCTGTAAAATTGATCTCAATAACAATGATAAGCTCTGGACTTTTTTTTACTCTATATTGATCTAAGAGGGAATTTGGGAATTTAAAAGTGTGCTGTGTTGATATTAGAGATGTATCAAATATTCGGCCACCAAAAATGTATTGGTCGAAAATATGTTATGCCATTTAATAGACCCTCTAATTGTTGTGGCTGCAGTCTTTGTTGGGGTACTCTTAAATGGGGTAATACTGACAACTTACATTAAAATATATTGTTATTGTTCAATATGGAAAACTATTGTTAATATTGTTGAAGCCATATCACTTAGCCCTAGTTTCAGTTGTCTCAACATAGTAACGTGCCAACAATGCGCCTAAGTACACCTTCCTTTCAGAACAGCACACCCATGAGTCCACAAAGTGACGCAAACAGAATTGCTATTTAAACAGCGTGGTGCAAAAAGTAAAAATTAAGGTTGCCCTAGTCGGAAAATAGCAACAAATCACGCCAAACACGTCTTGAGCCTTACTGCGGCAAGTGTATGAAAGGGCTCTTAATGTTATAAGCATGCATATTCGTGATAAGGTTTTATGAACAACCTCTTTAAGTAAAGTGTTACTCGGCAGCTTATCAAAAAAATTACATCTAGTCTTCAGCTGTAAAACAATTACATTAAATAAATATGTACTCCCATCAGATTAAAATGCCACTTCAGGCAAATGTACAGTATCCTCTGACCTACAGAAACAGCATGTTTGAATAGTACTGATAACCAGTGATAACACGTAAACTCACATACCTTATAATTTGCCTGAGTTGGAGTGTACATCATGCAATCGTTTTCCTGTAATGTGAGAACCCAAAACAAAACAAAAAAAAAAGAGTAAGAAAAGATCCAGAAACAAATATGTCTATATTTCCATAGGGCAAAAAAAGTAAATCATGTTGTACCACATTGTTCAGCTTAGCTGCAATCTGTTTCACCATTTCCACACTCTCTCTGCTGCACACTGACTGGCTCTTGATCTGTCTTGTCAACATTATCAGCAGATACAGAGATAATGACGTGCAAAGCATGGAATAGTAGAGTAAATCTGTCCTCATATCAAATGTCCAGCTCTCCCTCAACAGCAGATTTGTCATCAGGCCTAGGAAGAGATGGGGCGCTCTGAGGGGCTACATTTCCCTCTCGCTGGGGTTTGGACTTTAGTAGGTAGACAGTGGAGCACATGGCTGAAGACAAAAACTACTCGTAAGCCTAAAGAACAAGATAATGTTAAACAAGATAAAAACAAGATAAAACAAATGCTGATTGAAGAGGATTGTGCTTTGAAAAACAAAAGTCAATAAATTATAAGGGGAAGTTCATTCAAATTATAATCAATGAGTATGTTTACATGGACACCAATAATCCAATTTTAATTTGATTAAGACAATACTCTAATTAAGAATCTACTATGTAAACAGCAATTTTTGATTAATTTAATCAGATTAAGGTCAAAACCGAACTAAAGAAAAATCAAATGGAGACATGTGGAGTATGCCAATTTTAGTCGCATTATTGAAGTGCAGTACAGACATGTAAACACCGCAATCAAACTATTACCGTCATGTCAGTAGAACCACAGACACATACACCACGAAATTGAACTGCAAGTTTTTTTTCCCTATTCAGCTTGCTGTATGAAATTCTATTAAAACAACACTCTTCCGGCAGTTCATACTCGTATCCAATATCTCATTTGTCACGGGGGCATGCATGAAATGTTCCTGAATGAAAGTGCCAAACTGCAATTAAAGTCAACTAATTAAAAATGAAACAGCCAAAATTACATAAAAACTCCGGAGGACATGTGGATAGTATAGTGACGCAATGATCTTAATCGAATTATGTGCTATAACATGTGAAACAGGATCATGAAAGGAACATTCAAAATGCAACTCTTGTTAACACCTAATCATATTATTGTCTTAATTAGATTATTTTATTTATTTTTTTTTTATTTAAGGCAAATGATTTGATTGTTGATGTCCATGTAAACGTAGTCATTGACTCACCAATCACTTGTTTCAAACCTTTTTCACGTTCTTTTTTCTGTTGAACACAAATTGAGATGTTTTGAAGAAAGCTGAAAACCTGTAACCACTGACTTCCACAGGAAGAAAAACAAAAACTACAGACAATAATAGTTACAGGTTTTCAGCTATCTTCTAAATAGCGTATTTTGTTCAACACAATGAACAATGAAACTCATAAAAGTTTGGAGCCACTTGAGGGTGAGTAAATAGTTGAGTGCAATTTTATTGTAGGTAAATTATCCCTTTAGTGAATTTAATAGATGCTTTTTCATAAAATATTTTGTGATAATATTCTCCATATTTCAAATAAAAATACTGCCATTTTGCTTTTTTTAACCATAAGAAATAAAAACATTTGTTATAGTGACAAACTTTTTTTTTTTTGCTGTTTATTTTGCTTTTATTTTATGGCATCCTACAGAGCAAACAAGTAAAATTAATGAACTCCACGTTCATTCACTTTAGGTTTAGTTGTTGCAGGTAGAAATGAGTATAAGATTTTGACAGTATGATAACCTTGAATAAAAATATCATGATTATTGCTCTAAAATATATTCATTTCAAATTTCAAATAACTTTTTCCCCTTTGAACACAATATATTTTATTTTGAGAAGCATTTAAAATAATTTGAAGCAGTAAACATGTCTAGCTACTTAACTAAAATAAATCATTGACTTCTGCTGTCTTCATTAGACAACATATCTAAAACACAGATAACTTTATAGTTATAAATCTTAATTATACCTTTGGAACGGTATAAAAGAAAATTTTGGTGGTTTTAAAACCTTGACTTTTCGAAACCGCAGGTATACCTTGAAAACGGGTGTCGTCCAATGCCTAGTTGCAGGTTTATGTCAATGTCAATTCTATTTATATAGCACTAAGGCTAGGCTATTAATCAAAGTAATTGAAATCAACATTCAGAACCAATAATCAATCTTTTTTTTTTTCAGGTATTTTTTTTTAATTACCTTCCTGTGGATTCATGTATTTTAAAATCAAGTAATGCACCCTTCATTCAAAAATCTTTCACTTGTAATATGTGAGCATATTTACTGCACAAAACTAATCAGTGAACTATATAAGGGCAAAAAACAAACTAATAAAAAAATAAATAATCGTCCAATAATTGTAATCAAGTTAAATTGTTCGATTAATCGGTTTTGATTTTAGGCCAAATCGTCCAGCCCTATATGGCACTACTAAACACAACCAAAGGTTGACCAATGTGCTGCACGGTGCAAATCACAAAGAGAAAGATAAAAACTATAGCTAAACAACAATTCTCACCGATAAAATGCCAAAATCAAAAAGGTAAGTTTTAAAAACAACATAGTTTGTTTTAAAAACAGACAGAGATTATATAGATCTAATACAGAGGGGCAGAGCACTCCACAATCTAGGACCAGCTACTGTGAAAGTACTGTCAGCCCTGCATTTCAGCCTCGATTTGGGGATAAATGATACTCTTAGATTTGATGACCGACAAACCAAGCTAATCTTCAGTCAATGTGAGTACTTCGGAAATGAATAGTTTTTACTATAGCAAGCAGCTTCAAATACAAATATTATTTTAACCTGAAGTTCACACATTTAGATTTGAAAGCTCTAGAGGTTTGCTACTGATTTACCTTTATAAGAAGGACATGTATCAAATCAAACTTTGACCCATGCTTAAGGGTGTAGTTCAACCCAAAGTTATACTCTATTTACAGTATATAGTGGTTCAAACCTTTTTCTGTTGAACACAAAAGAATATATCTGAAGATGGAAACAGCCATTAGTCTAGTAGTAAAATACTTTCCAACATAGCCTAGCTTAAAATGTGAGCTCACCAGAAGAAAGAAATTCGAGGGGTTTTGAAAAAGGTGAGTCTAAACAGTCTTTATTATTGTTATTGGGTAAACTATCCTTTTAAATAGATGTCCAAACACGTAAACTGAAGGCTGGCTGTTAACAAATGTAGTTAAACAGTAGCAGCGACTTACCTCATCAAACATTTCTGGTGTAAATATTTGAACAAATCCGTTGGCAGAACTGCATGTTCAAGTATAGCCTAATCATGCTGCATAAATCAACGCTTTTTCATCGGACCCAATTCCAAGGAAACGCTGGTTAAAAACAAAACAATGCTACAATAAACTATCGAAAGCCGAGTCGTCACCCGCTCATTGTTGAGGTCACATGAATAACTGTAGGCTAAGCATTGTCTTCATGAGCACCGCAAGGTAGTCAAATTTGACAACGCTCTGTATTGTTCTTATATAGGCTACCGCCGCGTGTTGGGCTGGTCTGTTTCTGACAGTGAGTCACACAGACATCTGCATTTAAGCCTGCGAAAATGAAACCACATCACAGCGTGTTGATTTTGACAACATGGAAAAAGCTTTTGACAATACGCTGAGACTATCAGTGCGTCATGCAGTTTTCCAAACACATCTACGCAACACAATATTCCGTGACAATTAGACTAGTAAAAGCTATTATAATATTTCAGTGTTATAGGTGCAGCATCACACCTCAATGTCGTAAGTTATTTCATTTTGTAAAATGAATTAAAAACCCAGGAAGCAATTAAGGTCAGCACTGCAAAAATGTCAAAATTTGAAGTGTCCCAAGCCCACCTTGTCTTCATATAAATATACATTTAGAGAACATACTGGCTTGCTTCAAATTAATGCATTTACTTAATAGACCTTGAACTATATATTTGCTGCAAAAACCCTGTTACATTTACATGCTGAACAATCTGACGCAATTAGTACTTATAACACGTTAAATAAATAATTTAAGAAAAATAAATAGCAATTTTTGCATTATACAAAATTTCGTAACATATTCAAACATAATTTAAGGCCAGAAAAATGGAGCCAGATCAGGCTTAAAAAAATACATTAATAAAATGAAATTCATACATGCACAGCACAATTCACATTTACAATATCCAATTTGTAAACACAATTCATGAATTCACAAGTACAAATCATTCATATTTTTACTAAATGAACTGGATTTGTATATTTTTTAATTTACGAATATGAATGGTGTTTTGAATTCATGATATGGATTTGTGAGTATATGAATTGTGTTTTGTCTTTACAAATTGGATTTGTGTATTTATGAATTGTGTTTTGTCTTTACAAATTGAATTTGTGTATTTATGAATGGTGTTTTGTCTTTACAAATTGGATTTGTATGTTTATAAATCGTGTTTTGAATTTAGAAATGAGATTTTGTGATTTTTGTCATGGATCTATGAATTGTATTTTGCATTTGTATTAGTTTGAGGCTGATCTGGCTTCACACTGAAATCAATGATTGGACATTATTAACAATAGTGAAAGAACATTTGTTCTTGACTTGACAGCTAGACAGCCTGGACTTTAGAGAATATTAATACTCTCCTTCTTAACATGAAATGGCTTTTCAATGGGCCAAAAAATAGGCCAAGTTTTCTCCTCCTACTCTGGTCTCAGACACATAAAAGCTTTCATTACATGTTTCCTTAAAAATGCCAGTGGTTATATAAATGTTTCACAATCAAGTGTGTGAGAAAAGGACATTGTAAGTTTAATATAAAAACAAATTAACACAACTAGTCCTAAAGTGTAAAATAATTAGACCTATTGCTGTTCGCAAAAAAAAAGCTTTGCCTAGATGTGAAATAGCCTGCTGATTAATATTACTGTATACAGTGCCACTGACTGCATGTTTTTATGTTCTTTTATTCATCTGTAAAAAAACAGCTTGGCTTCCTGTAGGATTTATTATGATGTCTTTTTTCAGTTTTAATGAATGAATTCCTTACCTTTAGGTCATTGTTATATATTTGCAACATACATTTTCACCTCATGCAATGCTTCATTTGCACATGGTCTCATACACCCATAAACTCTAAACATAAATTAATAAATAGACTAGTTTTCAGCTGTTTTATCTTACTTTAATAAACTTGTGGCACAATTATAATAATATTACACAGGTTTTATTAAGATACGAGTAACAAAGGGCACATTGTCCATACAGTGTGACAATCATAACATTTTTTGAGATTAAGTACAGATAGCAGATTTTTAACATTTGTTTTCTTTGCACGTGTGGCAGGCAGTGTGCGGAACATAAAGGCACAAATCTGAGATATACATTTAACTGGCATAAGCATTAACTGATTGTGAAAATTAAAAGAAATCAGAAATATATTACATTAAAAATACACTAAAAATCCAAACACAAAGAGTTCATTTGATCAGCATTACCTTTGTTTTTTGTTTGGCTTGAAGGAATGCTTTTTCAACGTGCAGCAAACATTTTCTTCAAAGCAGAATATCAAATCAGATGTTTTGATGTTTGTATTAACATCATTCAAAGCAGCGATTCATGCTCCCTTGTTTTATAAACTAAATCCTTATAAACACTGGCAATAAAAAATTATGTTTTGTCTGAAACACACTGTTTTCCAGACACATCTGGACCACAATTGAGAAAAATGTGCAAAACAAAGAAAAACAAGGAGTTAAGTGCCTGAAAACCACTACTTCATAAATAAGTTCTTTATATATCAAAGCCAACTGAAAGCCTTTAATGAGAGAGGCTTTAGTTCAATTATATATAATACATTTGCATATTACAGAGTCTTAAAAGCAAAAACTAAACATAACAAAGCAAAGTCAATTCATTGATGTTTTACTAGTATCTTTGCCAGATATTTGGGATGAAGATTAAAAAATACAATAATTAAATGACATGACTGACCATAGTACTAACTGACACCCGTATTTTATCATCTGTTAATTTTGTTCATGGGAGTGAAGGGGACCTGAATCTCCAAGCTGACTCCTCTGCTACATGCTAAAGTGCCAGATAAAGTGTCTTGAAAAATGAGGCATCATGCTAGACCTCAGAATTACATCACTCAAAGCCTTTTGCAGTTCTGCATAGAGAAGTTGCAGCTATTGATGCTGACTCTTCTCCTGCTCTGACTGTCTGCCACAGGGGTCAGAGTTTGAGTCAGGCTGACTTGCGCATTGCTAAAGGATGCAATCCTCCCACTCCCAGCAATCTGCAAATTGACAGTGGTGGCATAACTGGTCTTTAATGTTGTTTTAGACCCTTGATTAGGAACACAGTCTTCTGTTTTAGCCTCGGTTTGGCACTGGATGGGAGTGTCTCTCTCAACAGGGCTGGCTGGAGCAACATATGGACAAATAAGGGTACTCCGACATGTAGGTTCTGTACCGTCTATGTCACCTGGCTCTATCTCGGTGCAGGATAAAGCATTTGCTTCAGTATTGGGCTCTGTGTATTTAATCAACAGATCGTGTACATCTGGCCAGGAAACGCCTGTAAAGTGTTTTCCACTTGTCCTTTCGGCTGTTAGTCTGACTGGTGAAAGAGGACCAGGGCTAACAGAAGACGGGCTACCGCTGTATGAACCCTCACGAGGACTTATTAAACCCAGATCTGAACCCACTGACCACCGTCCACTTTCAGCCCAAGACCTGCGTTCGTGTCTAGTTGGACTTGGAAGGCTATCCCCTATCACAACAAAGGGCAAACTGGTTCCTCGTAACCTCCTCTGACTCTGAGAGTTGGCTGAATAGGATGATGATCCTGTTGGGGTGGGCGAGATGATTCTAGAGCCTCTTGGTGTAGAGTTTGTTTCCAATTTTGTATGAGACGATGCACTTGTTACTAATGGATTCCTTGGTTGTGGATTAGCATAGCCCCAAACATTTGTAGGAATGCCAATAGGGGGAGGAGAGGTGATTCTGGGACTCCCGCAAGGAGATATTGAACAAGCTGATGTTGATCTTGAAATTTCCAAAGATAAAGGTGTAAAGTAGCCACCTTGTCTGGATGCTCTGGGGTTGGGTGGCTTTGTTACCAGATGACTGGAATGGTTGGGAGCAGGTGGAGGAGAGCAGATTCGGGTGATTGGAGATTGGAGGCAAATGGAAGGGGACTGTACACGGGAACTAGGCTCAGACGATGGGAAAGGACGAGCCACCCTATTGTGTGAGGTTGTTCGTTGGGAATCATGGAAATGAGGGAGTCCACTGACAGTTGATGGTGCTGTTTTTTTGTTATTAGCAACCCACCCATTATTACTTAAGCTGTTATTATTGTTATTATTACAATTTAAACTGCTGAACGAAGGTTGTTCAAGAGTTGTGGAGGTTGGGCTGTTAACAGATGGAGTTGAATGGAGGCTAACTGGAGGTGCTGGAGATATTGACCTTTGGCTACGATAAGGAGGAGGGGACTGAACTGTTGCTGGACTAGATCGAAGACTGTTGGATCTGAATGGGGATGGACAAGACCTTGGGGGTTGACTTCCTACCCCAGGGCTGGATATTGCCCTAAATCCTGACTCTACATTTGAGTCCAAGGTGATGGGTTTTGGTGATGGCGTCCTTAATCTTACGGAAGATGTGGGTAGAGGAGAGGATCTTACAGGTGGGGACACAGTCTGAATATGTGCACCTCTCTTGGCCATGCTTTGAGAAATCGTCTGACTTATGCAGGAGGCAGCAAGAGACTTTGTAAGAGCTGAGGTTGTTGAAGTAGGTCTGGAGCTCTGTGTACCTCTAATTGGAGAGGGTGACCTCATTCGGAGACTTGGGCTAAAGGCAGAGGGTGGTTTTGTATCCAATTTATGTCCACCACCCAAGGGAGTAATTGAAGACTTATCATTAAAAGCCTGGGATGAAGACTGCTTGTGAGGAGAAAGGCCATAAGAAGTAATATCTTGAGTGTGATCCTCTGTTCGCAGTGAAGTGTGTGGCACTCTGAAAAGCAAGATAAGACAAATTAAACAGATTAAAAACCGTATGACTTATATTACAAGACCTAAAACTACAACTTGGTTTGTGATATGCAGTACCTTTGAGCAACTGGAGACGATGAATTCCAATTTATGAAGGGACTTCTCGTTCCTGTGGTGGAAGGCAGATTGGAGGGTCTTTGATTTGTAAACCTTGGTAGCTCATCTAAAAGAGGTCTACCAAGTGGGGTTGAGCATGGGCTCAGAGTCATTGAATTAATGTCTTCTTTAGATTTATCTTCCTGTGGACTACACTTACTACATGAACCAAGCAGAGTCACTAGATGCGTAGGGCTAGTTGAATCCTGCACCTGGGCCAAAGGTTTTGATTCCTCAGAGATTATCAAAGTGGATGGAACACTATTTTTTAAGGAGGCTGCTAAGTGTAATGGAGGATATGTGCTTTCATCACTAACGGAGGACACTATATGTGTTAGTTCCTCCATGTTAGTCATTTCAGTATCAGACTGGTTGGATTTCAAATGTCCTTTATCCATTTCATCTCGTTCATCATCTATAGACAATATACTTTCACAGTGCTGTACAACAGAGTCTTTTTTCTCCTCACTGTGAATCTCTTTAGGTACATGTTTATTGACCAGTGGGTCAATAAA